GTAGCCCCCGAATCGAACAATACCAAAGCAGGGATGCCGTTCACCGAGAACGACCCCGTCACCACATCAGGAGTCGCTCGCGCCTCCTCTGCTGTCATCTGAAATGCCCTGCTCTTCGCCACCGGCGCATCAGCTCGGCCCTGCCGGCCATCCGTAATCCTCAGGGTGGCAGGGGCAGGTGCAACCACCTTCCCTGCTGCAGCTAAACTGGGACACTAGGACCTTTTGTGTCCCCTCTGATTGCACTGAAAACAAATCAGATCTGATGCTGTAATCGTAGTAGCAGGGGCCGTACAATCCCTACTCATATGCCCAGCCCCGACCGCACTTGTAGCAGCCGGAACTCCCTGCCTTGCACGCCCCCTCGTGCAATCTCCCACACTTGCCACACCGACCGTGGCTCTGCTGACCCCTGGACCTGTGATCTGAAACCTTGGGCTTTTTGCCCACACTGCCTAAACCCGAAACCGCCTCCGGTTTCCTCTTCTTCTCCATCTCGAGATCAATCTCCCTCTCTCTGGCTCTAGCAATCATGTCGTCCAGTGTTTTGCAACTGGACCTGGTAGAGAAATCAGCCCAGGTCATGGCATCCAGTACCGCATCATTCCTGATGGCATGTCCGACCTCCTCCCACCAGTCTCGTGCCCTGTCCTTCAGAAGACAGGACGCCAATCTGACCTTGTCCCCCCCGGGACATCTGCTAGTGCGGAATGCGTTGGCCACATCTGCCAACCACCTGGTACTCGCTATGGGGTCCCGTGCCCCATAATAGTCAGGGGCCCCGCATGCCCTGAACTCCCTGAACGTAAGTGTGCGCGACCCCATCACGGCCGCCATCTCGGCACGGAAGGTACTCAATCTCTCATCCATCAGCTCTAAAATACCCTCCTTGATCAAACCGAATATCACAGAGTCTGCTCTAGTATGATGCGGGTAACCTCAGAAGAAAGGAACTCCCTAGTCTGCTCATCCATCTGCCCGGCCTCCGGGCCTGATCCCGATCCTGATCCCCCTCCGGCATCTGAACTGCCGGCTGCTGGCCTCGGACGCAAAACTACCATTCTGAAACATATCATAACAACATCAGAACACTGAAATATCTCAAGGGATCATGATGCTACTACTAGCTTCCTGGTCTTGTATTGGCCTTCCTTAATTCGAGTACGGATCCTCTGCTTTCAGTAGTATGGGCCCCTACTACCTTCCACATCTATTCGTACTTTCCTCAAGAACTGCCTTGACTCCACCAAGTCACTTCTACTACTGCTATTCTCTGCTACTCTCATCCTAGGCTTGCCCTAGGGAAACTTCAAGCTCAACGCGACTGGTCCTCAGTAAAAGATCACCATCACATGTGATGAGGATCAGATAATCCAGTTAAACACCATCACATGTGATGAGGATCAGATAATCCTTCAAGTAAAAGATCCGTCCCTACAACGGTTGGACTCAAACAAGAGCTGCGCAGTAGAGCCAGTTCCAGCACTCTGGGATTATTCAAACCTGTTCACATGTGGTGTGACGTGTTCACCTAATGGCTAACTCCCACTACTCAGAACCCCACTAATCACGAAGCAAGCAGCATTCGGACACGGGAAATAGACTCAGGCAAAACTATTCTTATAACAAGAAACTGCACTAGCATAGGATGCTAAGCTCATACTATCAGGCATAACCTAAACAGGCTATCCTACTGCTGTCTACTCAATTCTAGCATGCAATACTCACAAAGCTGTAACACATAAACAGGCACATAAGGCATTCTCCTAGATCCTTAGCCCTATACTAGCATGCTGTTCTACTGAAACTGAAACTGAACATATAACTTGTATGGGTAATTTGGGAGTACTTACTTGAGCTCGGCTGACCGCATGCACACACACCTCTATCTTGTTCAAAACAATTCTTTCTTCCTAAGTGCTTTCAAAATTCTTTTTGTAAAATGTTTTTATCTTACTAAAATCTTTTGTTTCCCTTAGTTTGAGTTCAGATACACCTGGAAGTGTATCCGAATCCCTCAAACCAGGGCTCTGATACCAACTTGAAACGACCCAAAAACACGACCCAAAAATTTTCGTTTTTCCATATAATCAAAACCATAATATAAGTATCATGACATAAACACACGCGATATATCCCCAAAACATAATAAAATATTATGCGGAAAACTGTATCATACTACATCAATCCAAAACATCAAGAGACATCCCCAGGATAAAAGCTATGCTGCGGTGTGTGCGATGCTGTCACCCTGAACTCTTCCCTTTGCTTGCGGAAGTACCTGAAACCAAAACTGAAACTGTAAGCACGAAGCTTAGTGAGCTCCCCCAAACTACCACACACCATACAATAACATATAAACACATATTGGGCCTTGCCCACTGCATCGGGCCGAAGCCCGGAAACTGCATCGGACCGAAGTCCGGAACTGACTGGGACCTTGTCCCCTGCATCGGACCGAAGTCCGGAACTACTGCATCGGACCGAAGTCCGGAACTGACTGCATCGGACCGAAGTCCGGAACTGATTGGGACCTTGTCCCCTGCATCGGACCGAAGTCCGGAACTAACTGCATCGGACCGAAGTCCGGAACTGACTGGGACCTTGTCCCCTGCATCGGACCGAAGTCCGGAACTAACTGCATCGGACCGAAGTCCGGAACTGTCTGACTGAACATGGCATGGCATAACACATCAACTAGCATAACACATATACGACATGCTACATCGGACCGTGGCCCGGAACACATAGTACTTAACACATAAAACATAGCACACACAAATCCTGTTCGAACCACGGAGGCATCGAACATACCAACTACTGCATCGGACCTAAATCCGGAAACTACTGCTAACTGAACGGGCCGGCATTGTGGCCTTAGACCCGTTCCTACTGGAAGGAAACTCACCTCGTAAGCTGGCTGCTGAGTGTGTGGCTCGGAAAGCTAACGGCGGCTGCTCCTGAATCTCCTCGGCTACAAGTCCATAAACACACTCAATCAAATACTAAACACTGCGCTTGGGGTAAAATGACTCTTTTACCCTTGGTCAAAGTCAACTCTCTTTTGGGCTGACTCGCCGAGTTGGCCACCCAACTCGCCGAGTCCTACTCTCACTTTTCACTTCTACTCACTGCTACTCGTCGAGTCTGGCATCGACTCGACGAGTACCCTCTTGATCCAAGAACTCAGACAATCTTCATCCGACTCGCCGAGTCGTATGAACAGACTCGACGAGTTGTTCTTGATCCCAAGAAGATTGCCTTGGACTCGCCGAGTTGTATGAACAAACTCGTCGAGTCCCTCCATCACTGAGTCCACTCTCAACTCGCTGAGTCCACTCTCTAACTCACCTCGTACACTCGATACTGATAAAACTGAAGGACTCGGGACTCGCGGCCCAACTCGTCGAGTCGTTCTTCCGACTCGCCGAGTCGCCGCCATGCAACTGATTTCTACTTGATTTTGTTTGAATCCAATGCATACAATTGATAGATCTGAGTCCAACTTTACGTGCACAACCTCATGAATAAGGGAAATAAGGCTAAAAGATGCATAAAATGGGTAGATCTATGGTTATCATGCAATATAACTCCAAAAAGACAGTAGATCTGGGCTCTACAACACCCCAACATTCAGATCCATAGATATATCGACTTAATAAGACGTTCATGCAAGTGCAAGGCTTGGAACAAGCATCAACTAGCTCTTAGGAGAGCTCTAATGGAAGTTTAAAGCATATAACAAGATGGGACTCCGAAAATACCTCTATTAGCTCTGATTTGGCCTTGGATCTTTGCACTACAACACTTCTCCTTGCTTCTTCCTTCTTTCCTTCTTCACACCTTCACAAAATGGCACCAAAACACATATAAGCTCTTCAATGGAGGTTTGGGGCTCTAACACTGTGTTCTCAGGGTGAGGGAGGCGAGAATGGGGGCTATAAGGTGGTATAAATAGTGGGCAACCCGGGGATTTTAGGGTTTCACCCAGACAGATGGACTCGCCGAGTCGGGGATATGGACTCGTCGAGTCCCCGGCTCACGCGTGCCCTCAGACGCGACCCGACTCGGCGAGTCAGGCTAGAACTCGCCGAGTCCCTCTAGAAAACTCACTATAATTACCAATAATTCAACATACCGGGAACGGGTCGTTACATTTAAAAACTTCCACTGAAACAAATACTTTACGACTTTAAAATTATAAACATGTTTCCCCATACGGATCTTCTATCCGATCAAATCCAGGTTTTTAACAAGCTCCAATGCAAAATGAAACATAAGTGTGAGGAGTATAAGTTTTACATTTTAATATAATTTTTAATTTTAGCATAATGTTTTTCTTCATATTTTTTAGTTTTTTAATGTAATTTTTATATTTTCCTTTTTAGTAATGTAATTTTTTTTTAATGAAAAAATTATTTTGTTTTAGAAAATGTTGTATTTTATTAAGATTATTTAATTAAAATAAATAAAAAAAATAAACGTATATAGATGCTATGGAATTGTAGGTATTTTCTACTTAAGGTTAGCTAGTATGACATAGTGAAAATACAACAAAGCTCATACTTTTAAATAATATCTTTATAGACCACTCCTTATGGTCTTCTCATTCAACGACAAATTCACAAGAAAAACTTTAGTCATGGTTGGCTAGAAATTTAATGCAGATACCGATGGAAAATCGTTGGTGGTTTCCTAAGCCGTTCATTATAAATTCTTTTGTGGTTAACGGTGAACCATTCGTTTAAATATTAGCCTTACAATAAAAGTCAATGGTCAACTAGTCTCAATATATTTTCCCTTTCAATAATGATAAAAATACGTAGAAGAATGTTTCAAAATATAAAAATCAAATAACTGGAAGAATGTTTCAAACTATAATATAAATATATTTTTAATAAATAATAAAATAAGTAGAGGAATGTTTAAAAACTATATAACAAGACGAGTATCTATTATAATAAACAAAATATTGCAATTTCATAAACTTACAAGAAAACATGCTTCTTCTTTTCATCCTTGTTCTAACCTGGATGTCGCCATTACCTGAGGGCAATTTTGTAGGTGCTACAGCTATAGCAAAGCCAGGTTGCCTAACAAAATGTGGGGAAGTGACAGTTCCATACCCTTTTGGCATCAACTACGTAGTAATGCCGGGACGCAACATAACGCAAAACTGTGCCTTAGAAGATACATTTGAGCTGACCTGCAACTTGACTTCAAAAGCTCCAGAGCTTTTTATTGGGAGGGGGAACCTCAAGGTCTACAATATTTCAGACACAGAGATGAGAATTTCCGTTTCAATTGCCTTCAGATGCTACGACAGTTATGGGAATATAAGTGAGAATAGAACTTCCTGGACTGACATTCCAGAGAGGTTCCCCCTCACATTTTCCCAGAAGAACAAGTTCACTCTCATCGGATGCGATGATTATGCATGGATAAGAGGGCCACCAGGATCCGACTATGCTAGCGGCTGCATGGGGATATGTAACAACCCAAGTCGTGTGCCTGATAATGGGACATGCTCAGGAAGTGGGTGTTGTCAGACATCAATACCACAGGGTCTCCAATATTTCAATATTACACTTGGCTCTTTCAATAACCATGGCAGTGTGGTGTCCTCAAATCGTTGCGGTTTTGCATTTCTTGGTGAGGAAGAGAGCTTTAAGTTTGGTGGTGCTCGTGATATGTCTAATGCTACAGAATTTTATATAAAGACAAGGTCCAATGTCCGCAGGGTTCTGGATTGGGAAATTAGAGACAACCCGAATATCTTAGAGCCTACGGTATGCAAGGGAAATAGCTTCCGTAAGAATGTCAGTAATAGTGGGTATCACTGCCGCTGCGAGGAAGGTTACCAGGGCAATCCTTATCTTGAACCCGGCTGCGAAGGTCAGTTTCAATTTTAAAACAGAATCAATTCCAGTAAATAGAACATGAATAACATGTTTATATATTTATTTATTTATTTTTACTTTTCTTCATCATTCTACAATAAGTTTGCAAATGGTAGCTAGAAAAATATCTAACTTTGTCTTAAATTTTTTCGTCAAAGATCTTCATAATATAATACCAATAATATAGAATCATCCATTGCAAAAAATTGCGAATGTGGACTAACCTATTTTGTTGAGGTGGAAGTCTCTTTGGAGGCCTCGGGTTCAAATCCGACCGTAGGCGGATTAACTCTCCGGTGAATTTAACTTTAACTACTAACCAGCACTTAAAATAAATATATATTACACAAAATTACTTTGTTGATCATTATTACCAACAACTTAGATTTTATTAAATGGTTTCTTTTAGGGGGATTGGTCGGATAATTTTTTCGGGTTTCTGGTAATTCGGGTTTTTCATGTTAAAAAAATACACGTTACCATATCCAAACTAAATTCGAGTAATTCGGGTTTGGGTAATTCGGGTATTACCCGAAATATATATATATATATATATATATATATATATATATATATATATATATATATATATATATATATATATATATATTTTGAATTTCACCTGAAAATAAATTTAATGAAATAAATACATCGTGCTTTATTAGTCTTGTTTATATAAACAAACGAGACATAAACGAAGTTACTCAAGCTTTGAACATTGAGATTTTTTAGTCAATAATACCTGAGATATCAAGTAATTTTTTAACAACTTAATCAAATCTAATAAAATGTTAAAAAAACAAATACTTAAGAGGGTGTTTGACTTTGCTTTTAAAATGATTTTTGAGACTTTTGGCTTTTCCAAAAAGTCAAAAGTTTAAAAAGTTGTTTGGTAATTAAAAAAGATCTTTTAAAATGGCTTTCTGAAAAGAAGAAAAATGAGGTTTTTAAGAAGTCACTAATGTGTGACTTTTGGCAACTTTTGCATTTTTTTCTTTTCCCCCTTCAAAAATTTAAACAAACACATTTTAAAACCATTTTTTGGAAAAAGATATGAATCAAAAAGGTCTTTTTTAAAAAGGACTTTTTGGTCTGAAAAGCTATCCCAAACACCCCGTTAAAGATCTTAATTTAAAAGTTTAAAATTTTTAAAATAATTATAACCATATGTTTTGCCATGTTCTGAAATTTCATCAAGATAATGAGTTTGTTAGTTGCAATAAAAAATTAAAAACTATAAAGAACATGATGATATATAAACAATTACTTTTAATATTGTTAGTATCATATTGTCATAATAAATAGATTCATGTTTTACAATAATGATAGTTAGTTTAAGCGTGATCAAATATTTGTTATATAGTACAAGCTCTAAAAATAAAAAAAATAAATAAATAAAAAATAATTTTTTTTTTTAATAATTCGGGTATACCCGAAGCCAAAAAAATATACCCTTTACCCGACCCGAAAAAATCGGGTTACCCAATTACCCGAATGAATTTACCCGATACCAGATATACCCGACCCGATTTACCCGATGCCCAAAAAAATCGGACGGGTAATTCGGGTATCAGGTATTTTCGACAGGGCTAGTTTATTTTGAGTTTCCTGCTAATATATATTTAACCCCTTTGTTCAGTAATATTGATTTTATTCTCGAGTAATATTTTACTCTCAAATCTTAATTGATTACTTTTTGACTACTTGATTTTTTTTTTTTTAATCTCCCATCTTAAATTTTACGAGGTCATATAATTTGTTTAATTTTACACGGGCATACTATATATGCAGTAAATAGAGCTTGCATAAAATTGTAAATCATTGTTATCTATTAATGTTCTTGTTGTTCATTTTTTCTATATCTTCTTCTTCATTTGTGCTGAGACTCAACAATGATTGTGTATGTATTTCATCTCTTATTAGAATATCTATAATACATAGTTCAATTGGAGAGTAGATGTCATGAGCTTACTTGGCGGATTAAACTCAACCATTGTTAGATTCCATGTTGGCATCTAATTGATATGAAGTTCAACGGTCATTGAAATCTATTGAAATCTATCGTAGGAAAAAAGAAACCTTTCAATTATTAAAAATATATTTCATTGAACTTTATAAAGTTTGATATATTGTATAAAAATTAATATAGATTTGCATAGAATGTAAAATAATAATATATCAATCTATTAAAATATAATAAATGAGTATGGATGTTCCTAATTAGTATTAGTAAAGCAGAATATGTCACATTTTTTTTTCTCTCTTTTAATATATATGTGGATATCTTTATTTGTTAGACATCGACGAGTGCAAGGATAATAGTACATACCCTTGTTATGGGAATTGCAATAATACTCCAGGGGATTACACCTGTACTTGTTTAGTTGGATACGAGGGTGATGGGAAAACTAAAAATGGGTGTCAACGTAAAGCTTCAAAGTTTCCAGTGATTGCATTATCTTTAGGTATGTGTATTTTTTTTTTTCTTTTTTTTGAAACATCAAGGTTGAAAGAGAAATCACTGCTCCATTTGTCTTTACTAAATTATCCATTTTACAATTTCAGAATATCTTGTATATAACTTCGGGAAAATGACTTAAAAATCCAACAAAGTTTCCAAACCGTTTAAAAAACCCCAATCATATTTTGTCTGTTCAAAAACACCCAACAAACTTAACATTTTATCTAAAAAGTTCAATTAAGTTACACTTTCTTGAAAGTCAAATAAGAGAAACAGATGACGTGGCTTATTACCGTATCGGAAAAATGACTTGTTAGACCAACGAAGTTTTCAAAATGTTTAAAAAACTCCAATCATGTTTTGATTGTTAAAAAAAAAAACCCAACGAACTTAAACAAAACAAAATTGAAATTTTCTGAACGGTTTGAAACTTTGTTGGACTTTTTAGATAAAATGTTAAGTTCGTTGGGTTTTTTTGAACAGACAAAACATGATTGAGGTTTTTTGAATGGTTTGGAAACTTCGTTGGGCTTTTAAATCATTTTCCCTATAACTTCTTACTAAACCATAACCCACCAAAAGGCGTATACCCAAACGAGTGGTGTAATTTATGAGTACAAAACTAAACCCCATAATTAAACATTGAGCCTTTTCTATACGTTCTACAGTTCCTTCTGAAGCCATATTATCTTTTAAATTTCCTTCTGGTTCTTTTGATCACATGCATGTATATTTTAATTTTATATCGCAATGAGTACTAATTGTTTTTCTTTTATTTTCAAATGTAGCTCTGGTCTTTGGTTTACTTGCCATATTTTCTGGGATAAGTGGGATTTTCCTTGGCGTAAGGAAGAGGAAACTCATAAAGCTACGAGAAAAGTTTTTTGAGCAAAATGGGGGTGAGTTTATGAAACAAAAGCTCAAGGCAACAGGGGCTAATGACGCTGTGACTATGTTTAGCACAGATCAGCTTCGAAAAGCAACTGATAACTATTCTGAGGAGCGAATTGTTGGCCGAGGTGGTTATGGTGTAGTGTATAAAGGATTCTTACCAGATAATCGTGTTGTCGCAATAAAGAAGTCTAAAATAGTGGATGGGAGTCAGTCTGAGCAATTCATCAATGAAATCTGGATCCTTTCACAAGTTATCCATCGAAATGTGGTTAAGTTGTTAGGTTGCTGTTTGGAAGAGGAGGTACCAATACTAGTTTATGAGTTCATATCCAATAACACGCTTTTCTATCACATTCATCATAAACCTGGTGGAATGAGTTGGTTATCATGGGAGAATCGATTGAGAGTTGCTGCTGAAGCTGCATCTGCACTTGCATATCTTCATTCACAAGCTACTATGCCTATTATACACAGAGATGTCAAGTCCGCCAACATATTATTAGATGAAAACTTCACCACAAAAATATCAGATTTTGGTGCTTCAAGATTGGTCCCTTTAGATCATGATCAAGTCACGACTCTTGTTCAGGGCACACTTGGTTACTTGGATCCTGAATACTTCCACACAAGCCAATTAACCGACAAGAGTGACGTTTATAGCTTTGGCATGGTCCTAGCAGAACTCATAACTGGGAGATTGCCAATTTGTGCAGCTAGAACCAATGAAGAAAAAAATTTAGCGACCTACTTTGTCAAGTCAATGAAAGAGAACCGCCTTTTTCAAATTGTTGAACCACGATTATTACAAGAAGGGACTCTTGAGCAGCTACAAACAGTAGCTGAGCTAGTCAAGAGATGCCTTAACTTACTAGGAGATGAAAGACCTACTATGAAAGAGGTGGCAATGGAGCTAGAGGGCTTGAGGAAGTTCACAACTCATCCTTGGAATCAACAACATGAACAAGCGCCTGAAGAATCTAGAAGCTTAATCCTTGAAGTTGAACAATCTGATCTTTATGGTGTCCCATTAATCCCATATAGTAGTAACGAATGGGAATCGTACTCAGGAATAACAGAAATGGCATTTCAAGAAAACAAACCGCGCTAAGTTTGGGGGTGTTGGTTGTAGTCCCTGTTGTTTGATGATCTTGCATCATGCTTTCTCCCAAAACTGTCATTACCATTTCAATTGTTGTCTTCATTCTGCTATGTCAAATCTATGCTTTATTTGTTTTAGTTCTTTTGCATGGTGTGTCTTCCAGAGTTGTTGAGTTGTTTACCGCTAGTCTGGTAGTTTCAATGAGTTTGTCTGGTTGTCCTATTGAACTTCTGTGTATCAGGAAAATTAACTACTCGTTCTTGATTTCTTGTAATTGCTTTTAAATAATTGGACATGACTCCCGGTGATTTTAGAATTTTTAATTTCAAGATGACGTTTTAGACTAGAGGAAGTAGTAGCACTCTTAGCACGTTGCCATGTAGGATTTTTTTTTTGTTTTTTTAAAGCCACGTAAGCTAATTAGCATATATAGCACAAACACTACAAGAATCCACACCTATGCAAACATCTATGCCGACGACGTGTGTCGTGTGTAAAAGTCGGGATATACATACCACATTTTGTCAAAGTTGACCAAATGCCATGTTGACCAATTTCTTGACAAGTCGTCGGGTAGGTAGGGCGCGAAAGTAATAAAAAATCCTGCTTTTCTTAAAATCTATTCCGAAGACAAGTTGTTAGTATAGAAAAAAAATAAAAATAAATTCTAATTTTTAATTGTAATGTTGAAGATAAAATACAACGATATCGTTTTTTTGACCTCTATACCACCCACCGACACATAGTCGGTATACAGGTAGGTCTCAATCCGTGTGAAATGTATGTCGACGACATGTCATTAGAATAGGTTTATTATTTTTATTTTTTTAAATTATGATGAAAAATACTAAACAACGTCGTGTTTATTTACTCTATACCGACGACGACATGTCGTCGGTATAGGGTTTCATATTTTTTACTACCCTAATCGACCCCATTCACAGTCGCCTCTTGAGAGCCATATTCTCTCTCGACATAATCATAACTTTGACGAATACGGCCGGTTTTTAACCGGTAATTTCTTCATTCCTCCATTTTTTTTTTTGATGATTTCTAATGTTTTAGGTAGGTTTTTGAGGATTTTGGGTGTGATTTTATAGAAAGATTTGGGGGTTTTGAGGGGCTAGCCATCACTATCAAACCTGCCATCATCACAATCACTGGCCACGACTTTTCCTCACCCAAGGTAAGTCAAATTTCAGTCCTGAAATTTTTTTCTTCTGTTTTCTAATTTGGGTTGTATGAAACTGATTTTGGTTGTATGTAGCTGATTTTGCTAATCTAAGTCTGATTTTGCTCATGTTTTCTGATTAAGGTTCACTAATTTTAGGTATAATGTATTTGATTTTGTGTTTAGATGTAATGTATGATTGTATGAAAGTGGTATTGTTTGTCTATAGTTAAGTGCTTGATTGCTTAAATTAGAACGAAGTTGTAACACCCTGTTTATTTATTAGATAAATAAATAAATTAATGAATGAATAGTAGCCCTAAAATAAATAATTATATTTCAAAGGTTTAGCTTGAGGAGCTAATTGTCACACTTTAAGAGATTGGGGGTTAAAAAGTGTAAGTTCCACATTAGTATTGTAAGTATTTTAGAAGGCGGGGACTAAATGGTAATTTATGGGACTTCTTTTGAAAAGATTTTAGAGGTTAAGGGGCTGTTTGGTAAAGATGAGATTAAAGTTGAAAAGATTTTATGGGTCAGGGGCTAAAGCGTAAGTTTGGGCTTGATTTGAGAAGAATTTTAGAGGGCAGGGTTAGAAGGTAATTTTTGGATTTACTTTGAAAGAAAAGAGAAAGGGAGGGTCGATCTTGACATTATGGCAATCTTTTGTGGAGCCGGCTATAAAACGTCACCACCAGCCAAACCCTAACCCTAGATGCTTCATTCGGCCGCCACCCTCACTCTATCTCTCTCCCAGCCGCCATATATATCGTCTTCGAAGTTCACCGGAGCACCATCGCCAACTGCCTCCTTGTCATTGAAGTTGGAGTCCTCCGCAACCACATGATCGGCGAAGCTGCTGCTAGCGACGAAGTGCAACACAAAGAAGCCGGCAGACGATTGTCGCTACTCTCCTCAGGTGAACCGCCCTGTGTTCGTTGCTATGCACGACGGATTATGGCCGCCGACGAAGGTTCTCGTTGTGAATAGTTGCTCCACCGCCAACGTCCTAGCCGAGAACCACCGTGCGTTCACCTCGTTGAAGATGAACGTTGCTTGTGGACATCGGGGTTGAGCCGTTGTCACTCTCGGACGTTCCCTCTCTTCTCCTCCCCCTGTTTCGCCTTCAGCCTTGGTCGTCGATGTCATTAGAGATGTTGAGCGCCGTCACTCCGAGCATCGGTTGCAGTCAACGCTTTCCCTTCGACTGCCATGCGTCGCCACGAGGGTGGCTTTAATGGTAGATGTTTCTAGCGCTTAGCTGGTGTTTGAATTTTTGCATGCATGTTCTCTGTCGACCAGAAAGCATGGAAACCACCATGGTGGCCATTACCTTATTGCCGCCCCTGCCGCCGCCACCAGCCACCGTGAAGGGTGGCTATGTGTGTGAGTGTGTGTTTTGTGTGTGAGCGTGTGTGCTTATATTAGTGAGTGTGTGTTGTGTGTGTGCGCGTGTGTTTGGAGATTTTTCATTGTAATTTGTAATCATGTCGAAATAATAATAGAAATCTCAAAACCACCATCGTAGGGTGGTGGCTGTCACCTCCTGCCACCACTGGCCGCCGTGTCAGGTAGCGGTGTGCTTGCCTCGTTGAGTTTGATTAGTTTAGGGTGCTTGAAACCCTAATGGGCCTTGTAAGCCCTAACAAGCCCATTGAAACCTAATGGGCTTAGTGAAAACCCAAATGGGTCTAATAGACCCTATTTGACCTAAGGAAAACCCTAATGGGCTTAAGGATCTAGTTATTGGGCCTATTGGGCTATTATGGGTTGGAAACCCTAATTAGGGTTTGGAAAACCCTATAGCCATAAAACCATAATTTGGGATTATCGGGACCGCATGAGAATTGTTCAATGAACTTAAATTAATAATTAATAATCATTAGCAAAGATTAATCTAAGCAATATTAGACTTAATGGATTAAGTCCTTAATGGATTAAGTCCTTAATGGGTTAAGTAGGAAACTTAACCCTAATCATCATTTAATGAGAAACCCTATTTCACTAGGTTTAATGTTGGGCCTTTCTTTTGGGCCTTAATTATTGGGTTATTAATGGACCATCCAAGATCAAGCAAATTGACTAGAATAATTAATGGGCTTTGAGGTGAGGCCCATATAAGGAGTTGGGCCCAATTTGGAAAATTAGGCCATAGATGGGCCATAGTTTGGGCCTATATGATTATGTAAAATTGGGCTATTAGAATGTTGAATGTTGGACTGGACTAAATGGTTGGGCCGTATGGTAAGACCTTGTCAAGTTTGGGCCCAATTTGGAAAATTGGGCCATATGTTGGGCTTTGAGCCATAGTTGGACTTTTGGGCCTTTGGATTGGGCCTTGGGCTTGAATCAAGACAAGTTAGGGGTAGTGTAGTCTTTTACCCCTAAGCATGGACTTATGGTTATGTATTGGAACCCAATTATTAATTGGGTGTTATTTTGATATTGACTGATCGGGAATCTGTCATCCAGCAGCTATGGTTTGTCAGTAGGACTTCAGCAGTATGAGATGAGTTTTCCTTCCAGTAGGAACGGGTCTACGGCCACAATGTCGGCCCGCTTATTTAGTAGTAGTTCCGGACTTCGTTCCGATGCAGTAGTTCAGTGTGCTTGATGTCTTTGTGATTCAAGCATGTCTTTGTGTTATGTGTTCCGGACTTTAGTCTGCTGCAATATGCAGTATATGTGTTTATGGTGGTAGTTATGTTTATGCTATGCTATGTTCAGTTAGTTTCTGGACTTCGGTCCGATGCAGTTTCCGGACTTCGGTCCAACGTAGAGGGCAAGGCCCTAGTTAGTTACGGACTTTGGTCCGATGCAGCTTTTGGACTTCGGTCTGATGCAGAGGGCAAGGCCCTAGTTAGTTCCGAACTTCGGTCCGATGCAGTTCCGAACTTTCGTCCGGTGCAATGGGCAAGGCTCTAGTTAGTTCCGGACTTCGGTCCGATGCAATGGGCGAGGCCCTAGTTAGTTCCGGACTTCGGTCCGTTGTAGTGGGCAAGGCCCAGTATGTGCTTATATGTTATTTTATGGTATATGGTAGTTTGGGGGAGCTCACTAAGCTTTGTGCTTACAATTTCAGTTTTGGTTTCAGGTACTTCAGCTAGCAAAGGGAAGGGCTCGGGATGATGGCATGGCACACACCACAATTTAGCTTGGGAGTTAGACTCTAATATTTTGATATACTTGACAATTGTTATAATATTTTGAGATACATAGCTTATGATTTTTATATGAGGTTTATCGATTGTGGTTTTTATTACTAAATTAAACGAAATTTTCAGACTGTGTTTTGGGATGTTTTAGAAGTGCTAAAATGAAGTGCTTAATTTGTTTGATTTTTTGATCGAATTAAATGCTTAATTGCTAAAACCAGAATTGGATGTCCAAAATGTATATCATACTTTAAGAAAAGTAGAATATTATAATTGAATATGAAATGAAAAAAGTGTTACATTAATATGTGCTTAGTAATAACATCAAACTTTAAGAAAAGTACAATGATATAACTGAATATGAAATGAAAAAAATGGTACATTGATAAGTGCTTAATGCTTTAAGAAAGAGGAAGATTTAAAATTAAAAAAAAAAAAAAAAAAAAAAAAAAAAAAAAAAAAAAACCAAGTGAAAATTAGAAAAGTACTTTGCTACTAAAGAAAATCTAACTGTTTGCAAAGGTATGACTTTAATTAATAAAAGTATTAAACTAATTAGAAAATAAAATTCATTATTTAAAGCATAATATTATGTAATATAATATTAAAAGTACGATGTTATGATAGAAAATAAACAAAAGTATAATATTATACTTAACAAAAGTATTATCTTTTGTTGATTATAACATCATACTTTTGTTTATTTTCTATCATAACATCATACTTTTAGTATTATATTATATAATATTATGGTTTAAATAATGTACCGCTTAATTTGATTTTCTTATTAAAACATGTTGAATCATTGATTTTAAGTTTAAGTCTCTTCTTTATAATCATCGAGAGCTTAGAAATACCCGCCTGAAATTGATTTAGAAATTAATGTCAGGTTGTCCTTGTCTTGGGATAGCTTTTTGAATACTTTATCTCATATAGGATATGAATGTGTATTGCATGATTGTTTGTTTAAGAAAAAATTATGTAACACCTGTTTTCCATATTGGATCAACTAAGGA